AAGCCCTGACACATACCCACCCAAGCCCCGACACATACCCACCCAAGCCCTGACACATACCCACCCAAGCCCTGACACATACCCACCCAAGCCCTGACACATACCCACCCAAGCCCTGACCATACCCACTCCAAGCCCCGACCATACCCACCCAAGCCCCGACACATACCCACCCAAGCCCCGACACATACCCACCCAAGCCCCGACACATACCCACCCAAGCCCCGACACATACCCACCCAAGCCCTGACACATACCCACCCAAGCCCTGACACATACCCACCCAAGCCCTGGCACACATCAATGAGGTTCTAATTCTTTTTCATGACTTATTTGAATATATATATTCATATCCATCATGTATCTGACAAAATGACCATGATGCATTTGGAGTATGACATCATATTATTAAAATTATAATAATTATATTTATGCTTTTACATCCACGTGTTTGCTTCCCTGTCGTTCAAACACTATGCATTATTATTCAATTTATTAACTCTGGTCTTGTTTGTCAGGTTAATGGAGTCAGTATAGAGGATGCCACACATGACGATGCTGTAAGTATGCAAGGTTTACATTTCACACAATATAAATATGTTTCATTGTTGCTATATGTGTCATATTACCAGGAAACTAAAAGTGGACACGGTTGTTAAAATGTTTCTAGCACTATAATTATGCATCAACATTATCCATCATCTTCAAGGATACCTGTCGTCTTGTTGGTGATTGATGAAGATTGAATAATGCATGGTAACTCTGTGCTCTGCCCCTGTTTCCTTGGCAACTTAGATCTTCCTCATTATGTTACAATTCCCTGAAATTGAAATACATTTGACTATGCATCAAGAATTGGGAGGTATAAAACCTTTCCCTGATATGTACTTAAAAAGTACTGTCTATTAGAGAATGTGTTATTTTAGCTAGATTAACCTGGAAATTAGATATCTGATATTTATGGCACATTTATTATTAAGTTAATATTTGACACAAAATGAACTCGCATAATGTTTTTGTTTCAAAATGAGAAAGGATGACCATTTGATCCAAAATGAGGAAGTTGTAGAAAACTACATAATTATGTTGCACACAAAAATGATATTGTGTTCAAAGGGTTTATGGTTCATCTGTTCATTCTCTGATTGGCTAAAATATACTTCCAATATTTGTCTGTGTTTTGCAGTTAAGTGTTATGCATATTTTTGATCACCTACAGTGTAAAAACTAAAAACATTTCTCTCATGACAGGTTGTTGCACATAAATGCACTCCTTGATTACACTGCAAACATTCCTAAAAATTTGCAATAATTATCCTTACAGGTAGCTGCATTAAAGAATGCAGGTCCAGAAGTTACGTTAACAGTTCGTCATTTTAAAGCCGCAACACCTTATCTCAAACAAAACGGTAAGAAACCATCTCGCTATATTTCAAGCAAAAATCTTGTGCAAAGAAACTAGTAAACCAGTACTGTTTGGAACTAAGAAAAAGTACTTCCTTATAAATACTGAACAAATACCATCTACTATTTATGATTAACGGACTGTTATAACAATGAGACAAAAAGTAGTATTGCTATATAGCTGATATCTACAGCGTCATTAGGCGATGTGAAACACAGAAGAAATGATGTATCTCATTTGCCAAAAGATCACCATTATCCAACGTGTATTTATTTTTTCATTCACCATGTTATTATCTAATCTGTATTTTTTTCATTCACCATGTTATTATCCAACGTGTATTTATTTTTTCATTCACCATGTTATTATCTAATCAGTATTTTTTCATTCACCAGCAAAAAGACACCCAGAAGCTAGCAATGAAAATGGTGGACTAGAAAACTCACAATTCAATGGACCAGACTCAGGAAGCGAGGTAGAGCAAAGTATTATTTGATAGTCAAAGTCGCTGTAATGCATTGTGTTATGTTTGATATAAAATGTGAACACTTGCTGCATGATGACTGTGAACCTTAAAATAACTACATATTCTACATTTCTATTATTCTCTGGTTTGTCTTTTTCTGCATAGTGTGCACTATTTGCAGCTCATAATATAAACATTGCTCTTGACCAGTGATCACCATTGTTACAGTACATCACAAAAAACATTTAACCACAACCTAGCATAAAACAATTGTTTGAATATACTTAATAAAGCTTGCTTGCAAATGTGCAATTGACTTCAGCATATCTCTGACAATTAATTGCTATCTGTAGGTCAATCTGATTAAAATAAGATCCTAATTTGGACTTTATTTATTTTTATCATACACTTGAATTTCTTTTTTATTTGCTGGCAGTTTTTTAAAAGTTTTGGTAATCATGAAAGCGCACAAGTGTGGCAATAGTTATTAATACAAAATAAAATACATAATAATAATAAAAACAATTACAAAATAATAAAAATATAGCAAAAATTAAATTAAATTCATACCGTACAAACAGACTGTGTGGTGCTTCTGACAATGTTGCTACTTTAAAAATAACATATACCGGTACACGTCTTTGTTCTTATTTTCTATACAAGATTCTTGGTTAAGTTATACTGTGCTTTTTCATAAATTTATAACTAGAAATGCTGCTTGAAAGATGTGAGTAGTTGAAAGTGTCAATAGTACTGCTTATTTAAAGCTTGGGTATCACCATGCATTATTGGACAAGAGCGCTAACTCAATCTGCAGTGATCATTTTGAATTTTGTAAAAGTTACTGATTCATAACAAGCTTTTATAGTGTCAAAAAATGAATGACAAAATTCTATAAATGTGACAACTTTGTCTCTTAATGAAGTCACTATGAAATATATTTGAACTGACTGAGAAAGTTTTCCATTTTTCAATGTATGTTTTGTAAAAACAAAAGTTTCATTGTAACAAACTCCTGAGGACACTGTTTATAACAGGTATCCAGTGGTGCTGATGCTATAGTAATAGATGAAACAACGACATCACCAAAGTTAGAAAAGAGGTGGTCAGATGTTTTAATGGTGCCGTTATTAATGGCACGGATAACAAGATATATGCCTGGTAGTGATAAACTTAGGTATGTATATCGTCAAATGCGCAGCTGATGATTTGTGAAATGAAAGAAAAAAATGCCAATGAGAAGATATTTAATTTATTATTTGAATTAAGATTAAGTTGTATAATAAAGATTGATGTATTACAAATTTCAACAATTTGGTCAGACAAAGAAACTGATTTACAAATAACCCATCAAAGTTTTGTAAGTGGTGAACTGTTATTGAGATGCCATGTTAATTTCACCCCAATCAAAGATGGTGTTAATTTAAGCAAATTCAACATTTTATTTTAAACACAAACTCGAAACTAATCTCAAAAACCTTTGAATTCATCATAACTATTTTTTCAGTGTAACAAAACCTGTTGAAGTTGTTCTTGTACTGTATCCAAACACATGAAATGTTTCTGTTATAATTTTACAGAGGTGGGAATAGATCGAGAGAGGGGAATCTTTTTTCAGATACTCATCTTTTGGTACTTGGTAATCAAGCATTATATTTATCCTCTTTTTCTCAGAAATTTAGCCTTTGAGGTCTGTGCAATGGACGGCACATCATCAGGTGTCATACACTGTAGTGATTTAGCAGAGCTTGTTGATTGGATGAAAGCAATATCGGCGAATATCGCCACGTTAAATGCGCAATCAGTAAGTGATTTAACAGTCAATAACGTGACAACAACTTTAGTACATCTTGTGAATTAGTTATGAATGTTGTGTTTAGCAATATTTTCACTGAATTTTATTTTCACTGATCCTTACCTTACCTGAAAGAAAAGAACTTCAGTGTTGTGGGAATATACCACCAATTCTGGGTAGAATTAACATATTGTGCAAATGTACCAAGAATGTTTGGCAGAATTAACATACATTGTGTATTATGCAAATATACCATCAATGCTAGAATTAACAACTTTTGTCACCTTTTATAAACCCACAGACTTGTATCCAATTATTTTTTTTTCATTTAGCACAAACTTAACAAAACAATTCTAGAAAAATTTATAAAAATATGTAAAATGTTGTACAAATATTTTGGCAATAAACTTGTAGTGTTCAAAGTGTTATTTGAATTATTACTAATTAGATTTGAATACTTTTGAATTATTACAATCAGAATTGAATATCTTTGAGTTATAACCAATCAGAATTGAATGTCTTTGAATTATTACTAATCAGATTTGATTATCTTTGAATTACAACCAATCAGATTTAAATACTTTTAAATTTATAACCAATTAGATTTAAATACCTAGACTGAATATATTCTTTGTATTCCAAGAATACTTCCAAATAAGAGTTTTTTTGTTTTTGTTAATAAAATATATTTGTAATTGTTATTACAGATGAAAATTACTAATAATTTGTTGCCACACACTGATCAGGTAAGCCTAAAGTGTGAATTTATATATGAATGTTTCTGCTATATATTAAAATTATATGTTGGTATCAGCACATTTTTTTCATAATGCTAAGAATCTAACTAATATACGTATATTTTTAACAGTCATATTTAATATTATTATTATTGACTGACTGTGTAAATGATAAACTGATTTAATCACCGAACTTTATTGTTGATAAGTTGTGTGATGCACATACAAAGTTTACTGTATAGATCAAAGTAACCATTTCTCCACATTTATAAATAAAAATGTGCACCATGTTGCACCAATTTTTTTTGGCGGGAAGAATTATTGCTTTCAAAAAGTTAATTAAAAAAACATAAATAAAAAGCATGTTGACTGCTTCACCATTCTGCATGACTTGTCTTTTGTTTTATCTTTGCTTTGTCATTGGTGGACTCACTGAAATAAATTTGCATCTCATTAGCATTTGGAACCTTCACCTGGCCATATCAGCCAATCATAATTCAGCATCTAATTCTATCATCAACTCCTCATCTGTTTTCTCCTCCTATTAACATCCTTGCTTCCTTTATGAGATGCTTTTGCAATCATATTTCCTCCCAAACACAATAGAACCAGGTATGTACATGTGTCATCTGTGCATGGCTTCTTTATCAAATTATCACATTCGTAGTGATTTGCTTGTGTATAATTTTACTTTTTATCTCCCATCTTTTTTCAAGTTTTCCTGTTATCGATACTCAAAATCTGTGTAAAACTTTTATACTTGCGTATGGTATAAATTTATCACTAAATTCACTACTGGGTTTAAAAGTTTGTTATATGTTTCCTCACATAAGTGCAGTTTATGTTCCCTGTATGATTAAAAATTCATACACAACAAAGTGTTGTTCAATTTCTACTTTATACTACTTTCTACGACCACTTTGTTTCTTTGGTGTGTTAAGATCATGATAATCGGAATTAACTTGACTTTCAGATAGTTACGTCAGCTTTTCTTGACTTTCAGATAGTTACGTCAGCTTTTCTTGACTTTTAGATAGTTATTTCAACTTTTTTTGACTTTCAGATAGTTACATCAACTTTTCTTGTCTTTGTTGCATAGGTACTACATATGGGGTGGATAAGTGAGCGTCTTCCAGCAAGTCGGTCATGGCAACACTGGAAATCAAAATTCATGGCAATAAGAGGATCAGAAATTATGTTATTTGAATCACCACCAGTAAGTTGGTTGCTATGGTTACTACTAGCTTAATTTGATTGACCAACAGTAGCAGGTCATTAATATTGAAAGACACACGGGGTCGGAGTAGGGGTGGTGGTTCCACTGCTCAGTACCCCCATTTGTACAGTTTGCTCAGGGATCTCTCCAAATTACGCAGTGCAATTTGTGCAACTTTCTGTTAATGTCATAGATTAACAAAATTAATATTTGTCTCTTCTGGAAAAATAACCAAAGTTGGTCAATTAAAAATTTGTCCCAATTGTATATTTATAACCTTCTGGATCACAGCAGTATTTTGTCTTCACAAAATGCATCTGTAGCCAATTGGAAATTATGTCATGTCTCCAAAATTATGTCCAAAATTAACCTCAAAAAATAATGAAAAAATGTGGCGAATGTTGCACTTAAATTTTGGTCAATTTTGATTTCACACTGGTATCAATGTTGTCAAATTTCTGTGTGCGAAATGAACTCACTGACATGCATGTAATTATTCAGATAATAGTAACGAAAACATTCACAAAGTTTGCTCACTTATAATTCAAAATATCATAAACAATAATTTGAACTAGTACATAAGGCCAATCTTTGATTGTTGCCAGATGAACAGTTATCTCCATCGTCATCATCAATTCTTATCTTGTTCTAGGTCAATACAAGAGACTGGGTTCCGATGTGAGAGAACTTACAAATTATATGAAGTTCTATGCAGAACATTCAAGGTATCTTCAATTTGATTATGTTTTTGATTCAACCTTTGGAGCTAAAGTCATCCTTTGTCACGAAATAAATTGTATACTTTTTCAATAAATTTGATCAAGAATTTTCATTAGTGGGAAATAATGTTGACTTTTTCAAAATTACAAAACCGAAATAATACATAAATAATTTGGAGGGTAATATGGCTTCACCATTAAACAGTAAAATGTTGGCAATTCACTGTATCAATAGTATTGGAGCATTAACAAGTGTATTTAAAGTATGTTTTCAGTATTGTTTTATTGAAAGAATGTGACTATTCCTAGTAGTAGGCTATCTTCAACCATTTTTTTTTTCAGGAGTCTGAACTTGCGGATGACAGGCAGAACAGTTTTTCTTTGAAGAGTGGTTCAGATGAAGAGCATTACCTTAGTAGTGAAAGTAAAGGTGAAATGCATGTATGGTTCAATGCAATACAGAAAGCTTCTAATTCAGCTGTAGCCAAACTAGGGGTAAGTAACTCACCACTGTCACTCCGACATTTCTTGGGACACTGCTGAATTGGTATATTCAAGTCATCAAAAATATAGTATTTTACCAAGGTCAGATATGCGACTTCTCAGTATAACCATGTACAGGTTTATGAGGGCAGTATGTTAACGTCAAGATTGCGTAAGTTTTCCTGGGAGAAGTAGAATCTTAATCAGATTCAATTATTTTGAGATAATGAAATCTAGGTAATCTGCCTGAAAGCTGGTAAGTTGGTGGCGGCCATCTTTTATTTCACCCCCAAACTGTACTATGATCCATCTTTTGAGCTGGTATGATAATTTGCCAATATTAATGGTTTTTATGAGGTGGTTGTCCGTCACCTGTAAACAATTGCATTTTCGACTTCTTCTTGAAAACTGCTAGCTCAATTGCTTTGATACTTGGTATGTAGGTGGACCTTGGGTGGACCTCTGTCCGATTTGTTCATTTCCTGATACATGTATCTTCAATTCTCTATTTTTGGCAAATATTTTTGTCATTTTTGGTGAAAAATGCTATTTTCAACAACTTCTTGAAAACTACCAGCTTCATTGCTTTGATACTTGATATCAAATTGAGCTGGCAGTTTTCAAGAACAATCTTATGGGTCTGTGTTGCTCAACTTGGCTACCACAATATTCTTTTCGGACAGCCGGGCTAATTCGACCATCAGGTCGCTTGTTTAATTCATTGAAGTAATTGTAAAATAAAGGATGCTAGCATTGTTTGTGATTGAGAAATCACTTGGGGG